CCAATATTTCTAAAGATGATAATGATGCTTAATTTGCACTTTCAGCAAGACATAGTTTCTTACCATGGCTGTTCGGGAACGGATGAACCAGTCGAATCGAAACTGCGGTGCTAGACGCACAGCCAGCCGAAGATCATCGTACACGTTATCACGGTCAAAACCCAGCTTGTGTAGCATGCAGATCAGGAAGCGATCTTCCTCCTCAGTGTAGTTTTTGCCCTTATTTGTGCCATATTGGATTCGCAGCTGATGGAAGGGCGCACGGTAGCGGGCCATCTTCACATCAAGAGCCCGTTTGACAGCCGCGCGACGCTGGATTTTAGCCTCGCCACGTTCGATCTGCGTCGAGAGGGGAAAATAGACTTAGTATGGGGGTTAAAAAGCAGCAAAAACGACTCAGAAAGGATATAAATAAAAGTGATGTGAACTCACCTGGGCCATATGTTTGTCAACATCCTGAAGTTCATTACAGCGGGCCCAAAACACCCTGGCATACCGTTTAACCTCCTCGGGTGTTTTGCCTTCAACGTCCAGCGAGATGGACTCAAGATCATCTCGACCATGTTTTTCATTAGCCTTGATAAACTGCTGGAAATCTCGTTTGGACCAATTGGTGAAACCCTGGCGACACGGAATAAAAAATGGAAGCATTTATTGAGAGCGCGAAGCACGCAAAAATTGCATGCGGAAATGTGGGGGTATAATATTAAAATAAAGTGGGTGATGGCAAGAGTGAGTTCAAACGTTCAACAGTATCGGACTAACAACTAGTAATCTCCTTTAAGTTCTTTCCCATAAGACTGCGTGAACAGAACTCTATGTGACAATGAGGTTTGGGCGGCCAGTTCACCTTCACCAGGAGCTATCGTGCAAGCACTGTTTATGCACTTTTCAAAGTTATAATGCAATTGCCCGCTGTTGGTTTAGCGACACATCTTTGCGATACGGCGTTTGCCTTCAAGCGGCACTTTATGGCTCGCGTCTAGGAGAGATCCGCATACTGTGTAAGGGCGTTATGCTAGAAAAACCGGCGTAAAGCCTCCTTATGCCTACTGTGAACGAACCTGATTCAAAAGTTCCTCCTTTTCGGCCAGTTCATTCTCGTCAAGAGGAGCAGCTTCATCAATCCGCGCCTGTTCTTCTTGTCTTTCACGTTCTCCATCAGAGCCGGCTTCCGGATTCCGAGGAACAGTGTAACCGATGCTCTTCCTAGAGAACATGAAAAAAAAA